AAACATTTTCACATGTATAGTAGAATAAATACTCATGTTACCTAATGCACACATTTATTTAATAATAGTAAATTACTGACACAATATTCAAAACTAACCCTGAACTGATGTTTATACCAAAACCTAATCTCAAATAAAAGCATGTATGGCTATAAACATACATGGTTATGTTCATAAATATATTGAAATTTCAATGATATTTTTGCATATATATTTTGTGTCTTTGTAATATTATATATATTCCGCTATTCCCAATTTAAAAACATTCATGATCATATAACTCACATGATACTTTTCCCTATCTCAGAACTTCAAGATGTATATCTGTTTTCAAACATATTTTCTCCTGTACATCCTTTTGAGTCTTGTATGCTGACATTCACATTCAGAATCTAACACAAACCCTACTGAAAACAAAAATCAATACTAATCTTAAACTCATTCTTCTTCCTAAATCTACATTTCAAACCTACAAACTGAATGTTTCAGTGGATTTTGACATGCACATTCGGTACACTTTCATATATTATCATATATTGACTTCTATGGGACATCCATGCAGCCCCTAACTTATAAAATAAGTGTCTAAATTACATACCTAATGCCCTTCTATGTTTCAGATCTTACATATTTTTATGTTTTCATACATATTTTCACCTATACATTCTTATGAGTATTCATGTTTCCCCATACCAATATTCTTCCACTAGAGTGACTCCTAACCCAAACAAAAATAGCATGTTAATCCTAACCTTACTCCCTTACCTAAATCTAATTTCATGAATAGAGTTGTTTATTCAGTACTGGTATGTAGGGGACTATACACCTGCTGAGAACCTCAAAGGTAGATGCCAGAATGATCCTTGGGGAATATTAAGGTTGCTCTGTAGGCTCTGAGATGCTTAATGTCATCTTCCAGGACAAAAAAAAAAAAAAAAAAAAAAACCATGGTCAGAATGAGGGGATGTGTCTGAAGCAATCCAGGGAAAATGGACAAAACCAGGCCTGTCAGGATACTTGATGCCAGGTGCGTTGGTATAAATGTCAACTTGTGAAAATGCCATACGAAGATGGGTGCAGCCTCCATCCCATGAGGCCCTTGGAAACACCTGGTAGGAGAAAGTGGTTGCCAAGGAAGTGACCTCACTTCACTTCTTTGAAGGTAGTGACCCCACCTAACTTCATTGTTGATAGAACTCTCTGAACTTGGAACCCAGGTAGCTAGGCACCCAGAGCCACACACAGTCCCAGTCTGCATACTTGTTTGGACTCAACAAGTGCAGAGTTATATATACTTTCTTGATATCTACTGATCTGTGGATTGGCAAATTCCAGAAAAGCACCAGGAAGGGCCCTTTCCTGAGAATGAAAGTACTTGCTCATCACTGGGTCATGGCAACTTCAGTGAGTTTGCCCAAGGAGACCAGAGGTGAGACAGGACAGGCCATTGCAGGTGATAATAGTTCAACCCACCATCAGATGACATTTTGGATAGATGCAGAAGTTCAGGGGTATGTCTTGATATGTTTTTGTAAATATGTTTGAATTTGTGGTTTTTTTCTCATATTCCCTGAGAATATGGAGGGAAAAATCATTTATTTGGTATTTAATTGACTGTATAGTGGTGAGTCATTTAGTTGAAGGCTATTGTTTCTATGTTGATATGCCCTATTAATCTGTCATCCTAGGGAGAAGGAAAAAGTGCTGTTTTGTGTAGTGAAAACATTTCCAGCACTCCTCTTGGAAAGTGTATGAATGAACTGCTGCTTGCCTTGAAGATGGGAAACAGTTAATATAGTCTTTAGATCCTGTATTCCTCCTGAAATCTGGCTGCTACCCAGAAAGTGTTCATAAAAGATGTGTACCACCTCCAAACCCTCTGAAATGACTTGGTGAAAGGAGTGCTAAGCATCACTGTGAAATTTAGAAATCACTGACAGGTAAGGTTTTCAGGGGAGAATTCTGCCTGGATAGATGGCAATCCAAGTTGGGCAAGCAGTAGAAGTAATTACCAGAGTCTTGGTCCTGTTTAAAACTCTTTTCATGGTTTGTTCTTCCATATTGTTCTGTTCCCATAAATGTAAGGAAATTCTTTCCCTCAGGACTCTCATTTGTAAAGCCTCAGGAAAAGCAATTTCAAAATCTGGATGGAGGGCTTGCATCTGTCTCTCAGTGTGAAAGCATTCTATCTAGATATGTCCAGTGACACCTAGTGGATAACTGAAACTGCTGATAGTTCTGAACCCTGTATAAATAATAGTCCATCAGTATCTATGAGGTATTGATATTTATATATATTTATAATATATATTTATATAAAGTATCCCTTATATAAATGTAAATACTTTATATAAAATATATTTATATTTATATATATTTATATAAGGTATCCCTTATATAATAATACCTAGTATTTACATATAATGCACATACTCCTGTACATTTCAAATCATCTCTAATTATGTATAATACCTCATACAATATACACATTATGTAAATTGTTATGCTGTGTTGTTTATGGGATAATGACAAGAAAAACTGTACTGTATATGAGAAAGAAATTTTTAAATATTATTGATTCATAGTTGATTGAATCCATGGCTGTGGAATGCACAGATAATAAGAGGTTGAACCATATAGAAGTTGTACCATATAGGAGTTGTAATATATTTCTTCTTTTTAAAAAAATCAGCTGTAGATGGACACAATAATTTTATTTGTTTGTTTGTTTATTTATTTATTTATATGGTTCTTAGGATTGAACCGAGTGCCTCACACATGCTAGGCCAGTGTTTTACCACTGTGCTACAACTTCAGCCCTGTAGTATATTTTTTCATATCCACCTAACCCATGAAAAAGTTTAATTTATACATTAGGTGTGGCAGGAGTCTAATTTTAACTCATAATAAAATAGAACAATTATGCTAAATGAAATAAGCCAGTCCCAAATTATCAAAGTGAAATATTTTCTCTGATTTGCAGAGGCTATTCTAAAATGCATCAGGAAGTAAAAGGGAGAAAGAAAGAAAAAATGAGAAAGGGAATTTCATTAAAATAGCGGAAATATCAGTAGAGAAGTTGAAGGAGATTGAGGTGGAGAAAGAAGGAAAAGGAAAACAGTGTATAAATCTGACTGTATTTTTTTTGGTACATACAGGAATATATTACAGTGAATCCCAAAATCAAGTATATCTGCAAGACACTAATTTAAAACAACAATAACAATAAAACTATAAATAAACTGCAGAAACACCAGTGGAGTAGTTGGAGGGGTGCAGGGGCAGGGAGGAGGGGGAAATGGAGAAATTCTGGGGACTGAATTAGAACAAATTATATTCCATGCTTTTGTGATTATGTAAAAATGTATCTTAATGTTATATATGGATAAAAATCAATAAAAATAAAAAGAACAATCTCTTAAAAATAAAACAGAACAATTATAACAGTATACTGTGACAAAATTGATAATATTACTATGCTTGTGCTTTAGGGAGATTATTAAGTGAAATAAGGATTACTTGAATACAAGCACTATAATTCCTCAATAGTTTATCTGATAACTAAGATGGTTATTGGGCAGGTAACATATATAGTGTGGAAACTCTAGACAAAGTGATGATTCACATTCCAAGTGTAATGGGATAGGATGCTGCAAGATTTCATCATGATTCAGAATAGCTTGATTTAAAATTTATAAACATTTATTTCTAGAATTTTCTGTTTTATAATTTTGGATCTCCATTGACTATGGTAACTGAAACTTTTGAAAATGGAACTGTGGACAAAGAATGTTTACTGTAAATATAAACAGGAATATGGTTTCACAAAGTAATTCAGGCCCTTAATTAATATGCATGCTTTTTAAAGGTATATGACCAGACAACAAAGTTTTCCTCTGTCTTCTTGTCCATGTTGTCTGATATTTCAACAATTTTAC